CATCTGCCCGATGGCCACGGGTGTGGACGGTATGAAACCAAAGAGCCATTGGCAGGCCTCGGGGAGGCCCCCTGCGTGTCACAGCCACAGTGAGGAGGCAGACTCCAGAGTGTGACTTGGCTCCTTACGCGGGGCCCAGTTCTGAAGCTGGGACACTTGCTTTCCCCCGGGGCCGAGCATGGTGAGCCATGCTGCTGACGCTAACTGGGGACCTCCTCCTCTGTTGCTGAGGGGCAGCTCACGTCCAGCAAGACAGACCACCACATTCAGGATGGACCCCTTGAGCCTCGGCACAGGTCTGCTGAACTCCTGCACGTTCTCCGACAGCTTGGTTCTGAGAGCAGGTAATTAACGGGCCCTGCCTTTACCCTTTGACCTCATCCTGCCTCCCAGGTGGACCACCCACACCTGGCAACTCTGATGGTTTGGATTTGAAGTGTCCCCTGAAGAGCTCGGGTATTACGAGGCAGGAATGGTCACAGGTGGACTATCGGAGGATGAGGCCTGTAACCTCGTCACTGGGTTTTTCCGTTTGATGGCTTAATAATCTGAATGGACAACTGAGTGGTACCGTTAGGTGGGTGGTGCACGGCTGGAGGAAGGAGGTCACTGGGGGCGTGGCCTTGGGCTGTACCTTGTCCCTGGCTCCACATACAGGCTGCTTCTCCATCTCTCTGCTGCCTGGCTGCCATGAGCTGACGGCTCTCCCTTGCCATGATGTTCTGCCTCATCTGGGGCCCAGAGCAGTAGACTTGGAGCAGTAGACTTGGAGCAGTGGAGACGGAACTTCTAAAACCATAAGCCCCAAATAAACTTTTCTTCCTCTAAATGTCAGGTACTTTAGTCAGAGCAACACCAAGCTGACTAACACAGCCTGTGACCCAGACAGTGGGGTCACAGAGTGGGCAAAGAAACCCCACTGGCGAAGAGGACTCCCAGCTGGGGACTCAAGGGGGAAACCCAATAGAAAAGGAATCAGCAGAACTGGGGGGCCCAGAGAGGGGTTGCTTGGACCCCAAACTACTTAAAGGTCATCAGAAAGCAAAGTTGAAATTTCATGAATGGCTTCAGGAGGAACCGCCAAAACTTCTGGAAACCAATGCTCAGCCTTGGGTGAGTCCAGTGGGTGCAGCTTGCAGGGGTAAATCCGTGGTTTCCTTAGATTCTCAAAAAAAAGTAGATCAGACTCAAAAAAGTAGATCAGTCCCCCTAACGGACCCCTCAGGAGCTCACTGTGTACCTGCAGCAGGCGACCTCAGTGTTGGGTGTGGGGACTGCATGGCCATGGGCCAGAGGCCAGCGCAGCCAGGGGCCCTTAGCCTGGACTCAAGATGCCCCTCAGTGTCCAAAAATGGCTCGTCTGTTGTATGTGTTCTCTGGGAGAAGGGAAGTGGCCACTTGCATTCAATAATCAGAGGCCAGGACCCCAATAACTAGTGTTCCGGGGGCGAGTTCTCCTGCTGAGGGGACCCAGGTGCAACTGTGGGTGAGGGTGCCGGTGGTGAGGGCGGGCAGGCCTGGGTGTCCCCAGGCTGGCCTTCTGGATTGGATTTTGTGTTGGCTCGCTGTTTCTCTAAAATCAAGTCCTGGTCTGGTCTGGTGGCTCACTGTGGTTGCGGGTGACACTCTCCTGTTATGTTCCCAGCACCCTGGGGCCTTTCCTTCCCCATACGCCATCCTGTTTCAGTACTGCCCTTCCCACTGGGGAAGACTTCACGGGTCGGCAAATCTCAATGCTTTGCCCCTGCACAGACTGAAGGTGTCCACAGTGCTGTCCACGATGTCCCCACCCCTGCCCCAGAGCCGTCCTGAGTGCGCTGGGTGAGTGCTTGGGAAGGAGCCACCATAGCTGTTGATTTGCCACAGGGACCCTTGACATGGAGGGCTGCTGTCCAGGGCTGGACCTGGTTCTCCAGCTGGGGATTCACCTCCCTGGGGTCTCAGAACCCCGCCTTGCCTTCAGACATTGCCCTCTGAGCTTGAGTCACCAAGAGAATCTCCTTTGCTTGCAAGAATCCTTGCTGGTGCAACCATCCCGACACGTACAACGGGGCGCACTCGCAACAAGGGGAAAGCATGGGGGGCCCTTAGCTGGTATCCTGGTGCTGTGCTTCATCTTTCCCAACCTCTGGGCTCTCTGGGCTCTGAAGCGTGTCCTTCTCCGGTACTGGCCAGTACATCCTGCTTCCTGCCAGGACCCTGCTGTCCTGGGGTGAATCTGGGCTGGACTCCAGCAAATGAAATCCCCACTCTGACAACATCCACATGCCCAATGTTCCCTCTGTCGACTTCCTCTCTCTTTTCCAAAGTCACAGACTCTTGAGTGAAAGAAGGGAAGAAAACACCACCTGTAGCACCAGTTCCTTCCATTTCTTCTCGAACTTCAAAGTCAAGAGAAACTCACTGGGTTGGGACTCAAGGGCTCAGAGCTGGAGTCGGCCTTCCGGACTGGCCCTGGGCCTTGCTCTCTGCACCTGTGCTTGAGGCTGACTGGGCTGTCACCTCCGGGCTCAGGAAGAAAGTGCTGTAGTGATCACCACTGTCTGCATGGATGTGGGATGGGAGAGTGACCGCTGGGGGCTGAGCTTCCTGCTCCACCCCCAACCTGCTCTGTGCCCTACATAGTAGGGGACGAAGTCCCACCAACCTCAAGCTGTCCGCAGCCCTGCAGGACGTCAGGGCAGATTTGAGGCTCCAGGGCAGCTTGTCAGGCCTTTCCTGTCCACGGCCACCCTGTGTCTTTTGTGCTGAAATGTGGTCATGTGAGGTCGTGCAAGCTGACTGCGGGCTGACTGTGCGCCCACCTGGGTCCCTGATGGGGGTTCCCCACTCACTCACTTCTGCACACTGCAGAGTGTGGAAAGCGTCCCATGGTGCCCTGGGGTGGGCTTACGGTCCTAGGGCACTGTCCGAATCACAGACCTGCTGCCCTACTGCGAGAGGGCGGTGGAGGCCCTGACAAGCAGTCCTAGGCCGTGCCTCGGGAGCTCACCCTCAGTTGGGGCTCTTTGTCAGGCAACAGCTGGACAAAGCTCAGAAACTGCTGTCTGCAGGGGAACCTAGCCATTTCACCCACAGGGGGAGAAAATACAAAGCCAGATGAGCTCCTCCACTGGCCAAAAGCCACCTCATCCAGGTGAGAAGTCCCGTGCAGCCCAGAGCGGGGTGACTCCTTGAGTGGCCCCGGGGGGTGGGCTTGAGTGTCTTCTTCCCGTGGAAGCCAGCTCCTGGTTCTAAAGCCCACCCTGTTGGACCCTGAAGGTCAGGCAGAGCCGTGCAGAAGCTGAGGTGCACACACTGAATCACAGGTTCACCGTGGGTGAGAGCCAGCTCCAGACTCCAAGGCCCAGCGAGGGGCTCTGGGGGAGGGAGTTGACAGGGGACAGCCCTTCTCAGGACAGCCTTCCCAAAGGCCTGCATCCTGTTTTATTAAAAGCTTGTTGCTGGCAGGAGAGGGCTGCCTGCTGAGTGGGCAGCCGTCCAAGATCCCCGTGGGCAATTCCAGGCCTGGCTGGGAGTGACATCAACAGGGAGGGCAGGCCTGGGTTTAGCTGATGCTGCAGGACTGGGCCTTTCTTTTTCTTTCTCTTAACCTTTCTCTTGCCTGGTCCCACAGTGTCCATTTCGGGCGTGCAGGCACGGCAGGGGCCTCTGCACCCGGAGCTGGAGTTCATCGGGCAGGACCCTGGCCCCCTGCCCATGCCCCCAACCCGCCCCCACTGTAGACAGACAGGGAGGCCAGACGGTGGCCCCGGGGTGTTTACAGGGTCGGGTGGGGGAGAGCAGGGACATCAGCTGGGTTGTTTATCTTCTGAGTTTCGAAACCACCCAATCCATGCATTTCCCAGGAAGCCTCCACTTGTAGGTTTCCAGAAATAAAAAAAGTAAAAGGAGAACCACTTCACAGGAAGCCGGAGGAAGGCGGTTTCTTTGTTAGGCCCTTTGTTCCTTTATTATTTTTTAACTCGAGGTTTGTTGAAGGCAGGCAGAGGTAGTCACTTTTTCTGTATTTTTATGACATTCTGCCGTTTTGCTCTATTCCCTTATCAGCTAAGAGGGCAAATGATATTTGAAGAGGCTGATAGGGTTTGTCCCCGGCTCCGCTCCTGTCCTGTCTGTCTGGGGAACTGGGGTTTTGTGTAAACTTTTATAATCACATTTTCTGCTGAGGTTGTACATGACACTGAGAACCTTCCCGTCATGCTGCAAATTTTAGTCACTCAAACTGCTTCCAGTTTTACAAAAAATAAAAATTTAAAAATTTAAAAAAATACAAATATGTATGCCTTAACAGATTTTTTAAAAATAATTTTAAAAATTAAAAAAAAAACCAGTTTTGATATACTGTTTGGTTGGTTGTACTTGATAGATTTGGTTATTTAATGAACTTAGAGCAAACAGCCCCATATCAAATAGAGCATGTTAATATATTGGCTTCTTTTTAACCCTACACTCGACAAGCTTTTCAAATACAGCCAGAAAATGCTATGTTTTTAAGCAATTTTGAAGAAATAAAAGATGCAGTTCAGATAAAGAGATTTCTGGAAGAAAAACAACATAAAGTGTACCTGAACATAACACGTTTATGTGTTACTTCATATTTGAACATTCAGTTCATGTCAAGGACAAAATGTTTTAAAAGTTTGGGATTTAAAAGTTTGTAATGTCTGCCACGTTATCTGAATCATGATGTATGCCTAAAATCAGGTAAACGCAGCTTCTGCTATACATATAAGTATTGTACACATGTCATTTCTCTCTCTCTCTGTTTTGTTGTTATTTTATTCACTTATTTATATGCGGTTCTGAGAATCGAATCCAGTGCCTTACACGTGCTCTGAACTACATGGAAGTCTTCAAAATCATAAGAAGAGGTCACATAGGACACAAAATTGTGGCACAAACATGTCAAATCCAGTCTACTTTTTCTAAACTGTATCTTTAAAAGAGTCTCAACATATTGGACTTTTTTTTTTTTTTGGTCCACTCTCTGGCTGCTAAAGAGAAAGCAGAAGATTATCTTAATAATAAATGGACAGAAGAAGCAGTTTATAATCTTTGTTTGTTTTTAAAGCGGGGTAGAGCGCTCTCAGTAGATGTAGTGTGCTCTGCTCGGTGTGTCTTTGCTGGTTAATTGAAAACATCAAGTGCAAATCTTTAATACAGCACTTTCCTGGGAGTCACGGCTGGAGCCCTGTCTGTGTTGGGCAGGGTCCAGGACATCAAGGAGAACACGGATAGGAGAGTCTGCATCACTGCAGACAAACACTGGTGATTCAGAGAGCTCCGGTTCTGCCCTGGCTGCCTCTCTCTAGATGAGCAGTAGCAACCCTGTCCCTGGTCC